CCAAATTAAGTCGGCAACCCCTAAAATACTACTATTTAATATTCATGAGATCCCTTACCCGTCATGATATATTTTATTTGATTTAGCATCTGGCAAGTCTATTGTTTAAGTCATTCTAAAAATAAAGTTAGAACCGAACAATCCGAACCGAACCGTGCTCAGCGCTACCTATGGCCTTAAGAGATGCCCCTTTAGTCACGCCTTAGGATTGACACCCATAGTCTGAAGGACCATGAGAAAGTTTGCTCGTCAAACTAAATATGTATAAGTATATATAAATAGTTAATATTAAAAATGTTGACTAATTATTATTTTTTTATTTTTATCCTTCGTGTTTAAACTTCATTTATTTTTTCTAGGCTTGTTGATTTCAGTGCTTTCAGAAGATTATATATATTATTGCATTGTTTATTGCACTTGCTTAAGATTACATTACCCCCCCCCCCCCCCTCTTCGAACAATGCTTCAACTAGGGCGATGGCAGAGTCTTTTGTACATTGTTATTACTTGCATTATCTAGTGAAAGAGAGAATATTCTTTAATCAATTTCTAGTTTCATAAGTTCTTCAATTATTAAATTTGCAACATTAATACCAGTATGTAACTATTCAATTACAATAAAAGAAACAATTATTTTAAACATTTACCAATTTTCATCAATCCAGTATGTTGTGATACATAAATAACCAGTTTGCACTCTAGATGTCCAAATATCAGAAGTTAAAAAAAATTTACAGTTTAAAATTTTAAAATAAGAAATTATTTTTCCTTATTCTTCCTGATAATATTTTAAAATATCACGTTGACAGGTTTGACGAGAAAATTTGGTAAATGTAGGATAAAAACCATCTCTAAACAAATCTTTAAATTCATCATCTTCTACTAATCTAAAAGGAAGGTTTTTAAGAACGATAAACCTGATTACGCATTTCTTGGTTCGGGCACCGTCATAACTCCAACTACCGAGACTACCTTAGGAGGAGGATTAAGAAATCATAGATTGTCGGATATCATCTTGAAGATTCTGGCCTTTGTTGTGTTTTTCAATATGGCGTTTGAGGTGGTTAGTGCCGCTCTTATGATGAGCTTGGAAAATCTGGCCGCACAATGCACATTTAGCCTTCTGGGTGATGATCCTACCGTGTTCATCCTTGGTGACGTCTATCTTCTCAAAAAAATTACACACATCGGATCTCGACCTTTTAGGAGCTCTTAGTGCAGATTCGTCGCCACCAGATTCATGATTAACACCAGTAGGAGGAGTAGTTGTTGTAGAAAGATTCATTTCTGGATCAGTAGGAGATAGATTTTGCTCTTCATATTCAGCTCCAGAAGCCATTTGATGGAAGTATTAGAAAATATAAGAGAGTATAATATTGTATAAGAGAGTATTAGAGAGAAATAAAAGAGTTTTGATGTGAGGAGAAGAAGTGAAAACCCTCCTCTATTTATAGAGGCAGCCCCATAGGCAAATGACCAAAAAACCCTCATATTTTGACCATTTTTTGACCGTTGTTGGGGGGGCAAAACGACCTGGGCCTGGCCCGGGCATCCGAGCAAAACCCGGGCCGGCCCGGCCGCGGGCTTTTTGGACAGCACTACTTCCAACCTCCTAGCATATACCAATAATCTAGTAACTACCATCTTCAGAAATGATGAACAAAAATCATTATAAATGTCTAATCATAGTTTGTGTTGTGGCTATGATTGAAACACTTATAAAGTTGCCAAATTATGTTATATAACGCGACCACTTCAAGAATCAAGTCCACAATTTAAACAAGATAAAAATGGTAACAGTCAATTAATCTAACAATAAGATCAAATTATATGCTTTCTTTTCTTTTCTTTGGTACCTTCCCACCTAATACAAACAAATCTCCCCTTGCTCTTGTCTCCAGGAAAACCAGAAGCGGACGGTGGCCTACAGCCAAATAGCCAATAGGAAAAAAAAATCCCAGAATTTTAGACATACCTAAACTGTTTGCACCCATTATCCTATTGTCTTACACGTGTCCATTTAAATGTGTGGGTGAGATTATAAAAACTTAAACTCACCGTCTACGATTTGAAGGATCCTCGAGATCCACTTGCCGCCGGGCCAGCTGTACATTAATGTACCGGTAGATGATCAGATGTATTAGGTTTCGCTTTGGGTCCCGCATATAAATTTTTACGCGGGAGAAGGGAAAATGGTTTATTTCCCGCATTGATTAATGTTGTTGATGGCGAACTGTAATTACGTCGGGTCAGATTTGGATGTGCGGACCCGAACGTGGAAAGGGCTGCTGGTCTTAATTTTGGACTGGACCACCTCTGGATGGATGAGTTGGCTCCTTATGTGTATCCAATAAATATTAAAAAAAAAAAGTCATATAAGAAATTTAAATGGGTGATTATCTCTTCATAGTGACATACAATAATTTATTTGGTATGGTGATTTAATTTATTCATACAGATTTTAGATATCGTTTACTGAACATAAATTTGATATCATGATATATGTCAAAGTTCTCTTTCTTATATCATTTTCTATAGAGATTAAAAAGTTAAAACTATAAAGATTTGGGGGGATTAATTTTAAAATATGAAAGATATGGGGGCTGATATAGAAAATTAAAACTTCTTTTTTTTTCGCAATAAATAGACTTAGTTGACTCCCTACCTATTTAATTACAAGAAAATAAATAAATGCCTACTTCCATTCCCTTTCACATATTCCATAACAAAAAGAATAAATAAAATAAAATAAATGAAACCAAGTTCGGATGCTTGAAGTCATTTTTAGAATTGGAGATCCATACTAGTTTTGAGCTCTGAAGCTTAGGTGGAAGTTGTGTTTGCATTTAATGTTGAAATTTTTTCACCTAATTGGAATGATAATTTCATTTTTAAAATAATTGTTAATAAACGAGATGGGAAAAATCAGCAATTAAAATAATCATATAGTTATTGGAATTGTTCATATCTCAAACGCACATTATGTTTTTTTTTTTTCATTTTTTTGCTTATTTTTTTGGAAGATGTTCACGCTAGCCGTAAGAGTGACATATTATCCAGTGGTGTAACAGAACATCACTTAATTGCCTATTTTATACATGTTTTTATTTATTAGATAGTGCACTACTAGAATTAAGATCAGACGTCACCCAAAAAGATAAAATTATAAAGATTTTAAATATGACCGTGATAAATTATGTGGGGAACATGCTAGGGGTTTGTTTTTGGGATCTATCAGACTATCACCTCTTTTGTATTAGAATGCAAATCAGTCATATAGATAAATATATATAAAAATGTGTTTTGTTTTGATGTACCTATTTAATATAATAATTTATGATCGATAGTGTGTTATAAGGCAAAGTTAGACTGATTCTGATCTTACCGCACGAGAGAGGAAATTTAAATAAGTTCATTATCACAGCGACTACAACATGGCATATTGTTGTAAAACAATGCACCAAAATAAAAAGTGGGGAAAAACACGAATCCGTTGAAAAGCTTTATACAAGATCATATACAAGATCATACAAGATCATATGTGAGCCGTTCTAATCTAGATCGGTATGATCAATTTATGATGTTTGTGCAATCTTTTATTAGAACACTTAAGATATTATGTCAATTTAATCATTCACTCTGTATTGCTATAACATAATGTTGTTTTAATATAATCATCGATCAACTTTAAAAATCCGTATTAAATATTTGTGATAATATAATTGATCTTTATAAACAGTGGCGTAGCCAGAATTTCGAGCTTGAGGGGGCACTTCTATTTCTTATATTAGAAAAAATATAAGACTATTGTATCGATAATCACTTTTAATAATATAAATAATTTTTTTTTGAAATAAAGCACATGTCTCAAATTCGAGAACCCTACTTTTTTTTATTTGGTTTTGGTTTTCTTATCAAGTAATTCATGCCTTTGACATAATATAAATGACACTTAATTACTATAGTATTTACTCGAAATAATCTAGACTATTATTATAATATTTACTCAAAATAATCTAGACAAAGTTTGAACATATCGAAGAAATTATAAAGAATAATTTAGTATTCACATTAAACAAAAAGACTATGAATATATGATAGACATATTTTTCTCTATTTTAGAATTTAAAAATTAAAATAGATGAAAATAGAACTTATACAATAATCACTATGTGTTGATCACCAAATATTCTCTAATGGAAGCTCTAATTTTTTGGTTGCTATTTCTCCGCTTCATAACTCTTATGGTGTGTTTGAGAGTTTACTAAGGGAAGAGAAAGAAAGGTAAACAAAGGGAAGGGAAGGGAAGGGAAGCAATTTTACCTTCCGTTCCCCTTCCTTCCTCCTCTCTACCCTCCTTACAAAAACTCCCAAACAGGATGAAAGCTGCATTTCTCTTCCCCTCCCAAACAGAACATTAATATTTTTTCCACCTCACAACAAAGGCACACCATAGTCTTAGACCTAGCCGCAAATCTTTTGATATAAATAACAAAAAAATATTTTAAATCAGAGTAGAGACTTGACGTATGGTCCTCACTCATACATATATTCTCCTAACTTTACAAGGAATTTTAAAAATTAGAAATATGTGGAGATTTTATTTAGCCAAGGTGCAAATGGCTGCACTATGTTGACTAGGAGGTGGGGCCGGCGGCCCCCTCGACCCCCCTCCCTCCGCCCCCTTAATGGTTTTTCAGGCAAGAGTAATTTTTTCCTTGAGAAAGCTAATTAAATTTGTGTTTCATCATAATCACGTGTATTCGCGATAAAACGAGCGGTGAGCTTTAGACGGGGGATACGTGTACGCTAGCTTTACTCTCCCAGAGTATCTCCTTCTACGCGGACTCTCGCATAGAATAACGTAGAACATAGCGGCCTAGCTGTTATACGCGCTAAAATCGCGGAGTGGTAGTTTCGATATTATCAGAAACGCCTGTGGCATTTCAGTAGCGGCGTCAGTATATATTAAGCTCGCTTCTCAGCTCGTCTCTCTTCACTTCCCCACGTCTCTAAATTCTCAAATTGAAAATTTGTCCTTTGGAATTATACACAGAATTATACAGGGGGGAAAAAAAAACACCCACTAACGTTGCAGGGTTTGCACTGCGGTTGCGATCAAAATCATGGGAGACTCAAAGCAGGTAGATCCTTGAATACTCGAATTTGTTTTAAATTTTCTAAATTTATTTGATATTTGGGCTTCTTTTCTTGAAATACGACAAATTAGTTCTTTTTAAAGTTTAAGCTAGTAGTTTCACTGTTTATATTGCTGTTTTCGCGAAAATTAAGCTCCTTTTTTTTATTTAAATCTAACTTTCCTCAAATTTGACCCTTTCTGGTTGTTTTTAAAATTTTCAGGCTTCTTCTCTTTAAAGATCAAAACTTTAGTCTAACATTTTTTTTGTTTGAAAGTTCAGGATGCTAGAGCGACTATTTATGATTTTCCTTTTACCAAATTTAAGCTCTTTAATTTGATCTGGTTTGTTTCTTTCCCTCGATTTTGGATAATTTATTGTTGATTTTTTTTTGACGGACGGCTGTGATTGAACGAACCAGGAAGCCCAGAACGGTTGGATGTCAGTGCCGGCGTTCGGAGACTGGGACATGAAGAACGGAGTCCCCGATTACTCCATGGATTTCTCCAAGATTCGGGAGAACCGAAAGCAGAACAAGTCGGATTTTTTTAGGGCGAGCTTGGGCAACGAGGAGGAGCTCCTCGCTAATCGGAAGCCCGTCGACGGCCGCGATCGCCGCCGCGATGATTATGCTCAGCTCAGTGAGAATTCGTCGGAGACCGCCGCCGCCGCCCATTCTCCCTCGGTGAGTCATGCGATTTTTTTAATTGGCGTCTGCGGGAATCGAACCCACGACCGCATTTAATTTCCTTGGTTACGATGTGTACTGATATTTCATCTTTTTTGTCCACGCGCGGAGATATTATGCCACAGTGGGTTTTTTTTAATTTTTTTTTGATTTGGGAAATCGTGTAAAAAAAGTTACCAATCTCTTTCAAATTTTCATTTTTAAAGAGATTACAGAAGAATGCGTATTGTCCCCTCTCACGATAGAATAATGATCATCAAAGACCATTTTGCGAGGGTTTCAGTTGGAGCCAACAGCCGCCAACTGCACGGGAGGGAATTTTATTATGTTGATTATGTAGAGACTGGTGTATTTCTTCCGATATTTTAGCTTGGTATGTCAATGATCGAGCTGACGCATATTTAGGTAGGCAACTACGATTTGAATACGTCGATGATTTAGGTAAACAACTCTGTTCAGTCGCAAGATTGCCGACCTTCAAACTGATGTGCTGTTGTTTTCGTCGCGTCAGAGCACACCCAACCTTTGATTGAGATTCATGAATAATTTGGCTTGTAGGATTTTGGATGTGCAATTCATCAGTGATACGCAGGCAAAGATGTGGGATTAGCACATCGTCTGCCTGTTTTCCCTGTTACATTATTTATTTCTGACCTTGGCACTGAATAATCTTTAATAAGGATATATGTTAGAAATAATATAAAAATTCAATCCTGGGGAGGGAATCTAGGCTATCTAGCATTGTTTAGGTCTATTTTCATTTTGAACTGATGTCCACCCAGGGTGGAAGCTGGTAGATATCTGAATTGAATATATCGATCCAGCTCATTCGGATGCCTTGGGTTTTTTTTCCAACATGGTGCATGATCTTAGATATTGATTCCAAAGATGTTCCTCGTCATTGTTTGTGAGCGGGTTTTTGTTTTTGGTTTATTGCAGGCAAGGAAGAAGATTGCAAGCTATTTCGTTTGCTGTATCGGAGCGTGAGACTGTGATCCAAGGGCCGTTCTCTTTTTTTCTCTACTCCCTTCAGGAATTTCTCGTGTTATTCTTCCTTGGTCAGGCAACCCTTTAATTTTCTGTAGAATTCCAGGCTTGGTATATAAAATGGCTACTGTTCCAGAGTGACTTGTGTAGTTCTCAGTTTATAAAGGATGATGGTTGAGCATTGTTTGCATTTGGATTCTTTAAAAAGTCTGGATTTGAGCTTTCTTTCTTGAGGTTTATGGGTTGCAACCGGGAATGTTTACACACAATTATATTTTCAATGCATAATAGATGGAATTGAAACCTCATTTGCTCTGATCTCAACTTAGCCACAATTAATTTGTGATTCAAGTTGGAACGTTTCATGCATATAAAACTGCGAACGCTTCCGTAGATTTGTTGCCCTCCCAGCAAGCTTTATTAGGATAGAGTACATTTGCATAAGTTGAAAGTAATCAGCAGCCTATGCCAGCTTGAAACATTCTTCATGACGTATTATAATTTTTCTAATTACTCAAATCATTATTCTTCTGACCCAAGATTCTCCAGCTTGACCATGCAAACAACCTCATCATGTAGCACACTTTTCTCATTAATGTCAACTTGATGCAATACTGCTCATTATAGTCCCTGAATACACAAGACAATAGAAAAATGTTTTAGGGACCTGACGCAGTGCGGAAGTGATAACCTCGGAATCCACCAATGAGTGTTCTCTTAATCCACAAAGAACGATTTTCGAATCCCCGAAGAACTTTGAATCCATGAAGAAAATATTAAAAGAGAAATTTTATTGATGAAAATTTATTATCCTCCCTTTGGGGTTACATGACTCTTCTTATATAGAAAAACAAATAAGACTTATAGTAAGATTAGAATTACAAAAAAATAGAAAGTATCAAATTCTATCCTAAAAAGACCTCTTATAATAAAGAAAACAAATCATGAATCAGAATTGAATTTGTTTCCTAATCTAATTTGACTCTAAAATTGAATTTATTTACTAATCTAAATAGACTCCAATTTTATTATTAAAAATAAACTACAGGCTGATTCTTTTTAGATTTCAGCCAAAACTGGGTGTAACTGATGAGATTTTAAAAATCTGATAATCTAGTTGTCTCTGTCTCGTCGAGATAGACGATTTACATCTATAATATGTTAGAATCCGTCTTCTGGGTTGGAAGATATGATCATTTCTTTGCGGAGGTCAATAATACATATAAATCTGTATTTAGCTCGTGATTGTCTGCATCCTCCATAAAATTATTAGTTAAGCGTCCTACATCAGGACCCAAAAACATGGGACCCTACATGGGACATATGAGGTGTCGGTTCCCTATCCCATGATGCACTGTTCATGAACAGTACATGAACATTGCATCATCGGACATGGAGCCGACACCTCACATGTCCCATGTAGGGTCCCATGTTTTTGGGTACCTGTAGCACCACCCAAGACAATATGCCATGCTTATCGTTGTTAGATCAATATCTCAAGATGAAATCCCTAATAACTGAAAAACATAACCCAAAAATTAACGTCCAGTTTTGACATAAGAATACAACTTTTTACGTAATCAGGATACAACCCTTCATTGTATATGCGCTTATCATTGTATATGCAAATAAGCGCAATTTGTCCGCGCTTGAAGAATTCTTTAGGTAGCGTTTGGATACCATGGTGTTTTTTAAGTTTTCATGGTATTTTTGGGAAAAACAAAACACAATGTGTTTGAAAGACTATGGTGATATACTACTATACTATATATTAACTATATATATATATATCATATATAATATATAGTATAATAATATATGGACTAGTTAAAAGATTTAATCAAGGTTCTATACTATATAATATATATATATATTACTATTGATTTAGTTAGGCTTATACGTTAGTACTTACTTGTAACTTTAGTTATATTCAGTACTTTAATAATATATTATAGGACTATTAAGTTATATTGAAAACTGTTTCAACTTTTAATGGATAGAAATAGTTGTCCACGGCAACACCTTTTTATAGTCATCATGGTTTAGGCGGATCTTTGGCCCTATAGTGGATCTCTGGCAGGCTATTTTAGACTAGATATAGTTGAATGATAACGTTGACGTTTATGATAAGGGCCTCATCATACACGATACTACATTGCCGTTTTTATAATAAATTCAAAACGGTTGTTGAGGTGAGTGCATCGTTTTCCAGCGTTAGTTAAAAAGTTGTCGGGATTAGGTAATGGGATCTTCTCCATACCAAACGCTTGTAGCAGGGTCAGAATATTTCTGCATCTCTCCGGACAACCGTAGTCCTTTTTATTCCACTGAAATTTTGAATAGAAGTCTTTGGCTTTCATTTATTTAATAATATTATATATATAGTTATACGTAATAATACTAAGTATAAGTATATATTATAGTATAGAATATATATTACTTATATATCAGGTTATAGCTAACTATATATATATAGATACGTACCATATGTACGTAATTATATATAATAGTATTAGAAGAAGAGGAGGGAGGAGGAGGAGAAAGAAAAGTATGTGATGCTTGGTACAAAAAGCGACAAGTTTTGTGTTATGGAGTAGTGGAGGCGCACATTCCCCTCCACTCATGAATTAAATGGGGACCACATCACATTGGAGTTGAGGAGTGCAATATGGATATAGCAACCATTTGAATGTGTCGGACGGCAGATTATGGCACCTCACTACGCAACTTATAGTTTTTTTGGTGGCTTTGTGTAACCTAAAATACACAAATTTTAGTGCATTGATAGTGAAATGTCAATATTCCTTCATCCACTCATTCAAATTGCCCAACCACTCCTCAAAGCCATGTGAATGTGGCTCGCGATTTCAATGAGTGAAGAGAATATTCACCCATACACACGCTACCGAAAAAAACTTATGCTTGGGTAAGCCAAACATACTCATGTTCTCTCTCTCTCTCTCTCTCCTTCTCTCTCCTCGTCTCTCTCTCGTCTCGTATCCGCCCCACACACACACACACAACACACATATATATATATACTATATAGTACACCTATATATAAATATACTATATTATATATACTATTACTATATATGATAGTAATATACATAATATATTAGAAGCTATAGAAGTGATTAATATATTAACCTCAGAACCGGGGTCGACCCAAGGACTGTGTTTAGAACACAACTTAAAAATATAAAGTAGCGATAGAGCTAGCTAAGATTGGGGATTACTGTAGTAGACGGAGGAGAGGATATAGTCTATTGTTGTATAGAGTATATCTATCTCTCTAGAGTTCACATGTATATAGAAAATAGCTAAAGAAGAAAAATAATTAGTTATATCGAAGTACTAACGGAAGCAAACTAGATATATATTTACATAAGAGGTTTACAAACTGGAAAAGAAAATCAAACTTAGAAAACTCTTACAGACGCGAAGCTGGTAGAGTCTCTGTAGCTCGGAACTAGTAGTAGAGCACACAAAAACACTTCAGAAGAATAGAAACTAAAGCAAAGCTCACTCATCTCCACGTACAAAAACTAAAACTTAAAACTAAGAACTGATGGAAAACTGGAGGATTGCCCACCCAGAGAGGATAACGCTTCAACTCTCGCCAACGCCTCCTGCACCGCACTTTCAACTTCGCTCGCCTCTTTTATACGACTTTCTAGAGGAAGATCTATGAAGAGATGTCCATTTTGGACTTAACTGTGGGCAGAGATTTAAAGAGCTTCTTTGACATAGGCATTGGACTTTTCTGTGCAGAGAAGATGTACTTTACTATTGTGACGAAGACAAGGCAAGGGTCGTCAGCACGTCTTTCTAATTTTGTTCAGAATCCCAGCCAGCGTAAGGCCTTTTTGAACTCAAAATGCGTTCAATGCCTTAAGCATCAAAGAGGAATCCCCAAAGCCTGGCAAACTGTGGTAGGTAGTTATTTTATTACGAAGCGCTTCTTAGCTGTGGAAAAAGTATAAAGTAGATATTTTAAAGCTTTTGAAAAAAGCAATGTGTGACATCGAACGTTCCTTATTGTTTTAAGCCGTTGATATTGAATCACGTAGAAATACCATTAAAACTTAATGGGTAATAATGAATTTTTACCATCTATGAATTAATCAGTAGGTTACCGGATAAATGTTAATGGTATATTAGAGTTTTACCATATTTTTAATGGCGAATTTTTGATCCCAATATCCATAAGAATCATCCCCACTATGTGTTATCTGTCCATCGGACCAAAATCGCTGTCAATCTCGATGGGCGTTATTCGGAAGGAACGGCTTTCCCTTGATAATTGGTTCTTCTCGCGATATTGTTTTGCCACCCATAAATAATCATAAGTCTTCTTTAGTTATCTGCACCACACTGTCGGATTGGTCAATCGTCATTGTATCGATGACTGAGCTTTGTACTCTGTGATGTGAGGTTTCCACCCATGTCAATGCTCAGTGCAGAATGTATTCTGAGACCCATCCGAGTCAATTATAGAAGGTATATAATCATGTCGAATAAAGTATCAAGAGTTTTGGTAGAAAACGATGGTACTCGCATTGGGAAAAACGATCGAAGGCCTCGTGTCATAGCGTTCCTCTTTAAACCATGAACTCCAAGGCAGGATCATAGAATGTAGAGATTATCCGCAATCTGTAAGCTTAGGAAAGATAGTAGGTCCGCTTCGGTTCATGTAAGGTACTGTAAATGTTGAATTTGAAGATGTGGCCAATGTTATTGGAGAATAAGAAAGATGGGTGTCTGAGCAGGCTGCAGACCCCTAAGGCCTTAATGGATTGTAGAAGAATGGAGGTTCTCTTGCGATTTGTAAGATTCCGTAGAACAAGTCCAGCACAAGATAGAGGAAGAATGTCAGAAGGAAGATTATTATTTCGTGATATCTGGAAGAAACGCATTTTGGCTATAAAAATTTGTTTGTTCTTTTTGGCGACTTATTAAAAGGAGCAATATCGTCATCTTCAACCTTTTGGCCTTAATAATATCTTGAATGGTCTGAGAGGCAAACTTTGTTATAGTTTTGGACAATAACGTGTCTCTGGTTAAAGCGTTCCGTACAAATATCTTGGCAGAATGTATTGCTGGTGACGATTCGAGGATTTGAAAACATCATGCATGAGATGTTTAGTGTAATTTTATTGGAAATAGGATAGAGGATAAATTAACTCGTCATACGAAAGATCTATGATCTTTCTTTCAGCTGG